GATTGTTTTTTCCCCCAGATTTTTACTTTCCCAGCAGGGATTGTTTCTCCAAGACCAGTATATTAAGCCAAAACATGATCTTTCCTAACCATAGCCAAGTGATGTTTATGCCTAAACCTAACCACATGTTAACCACAGCGTTGTTGAAGCATGTTGAAGTTTTCAACGTAGCCGCTACTTATGATGTGCAAATGAAAAAAATCTGTGGTTTGCAGGAATGTAAAATGCTAACATTTTTTCTGGCAGGTGTTGGGCTGTTATTTTTGTGCCTCAAGGCATTCAATATATCACAAATATTTTAGATACCTTAAAAATATTGATTTTTAATCTGGACAAACTCCGACTGCACACCAGTTTCTTTCTTTTTTTTTTGTCAACTCCAGACAAAGCTGAGCATATTACACCAGTTCTCAGATCTCTGCATTGGCTATCAGTGTCTCAAGACTTCAGACTATTGTTCCTTGTCTATAAATCAATAAATGGTTTAAGGTTTAAGCACATCTCTGACTTGCTTCCTCACTAAGGACCCTCTAGACACCTTAGGCCATCAGGACCAGTCCGCTAGGTGTTCCCAGGATTAAAACTTAACAGAGTGACACTACATTCACATTTTGCTTACAGCTAACGTTACACTATCTACCAGATATCAGTTCTTCTTCGCCACTCTTAAACAGTGGTTGCCAGTGGTTGCACAGATGGACTTGCTGTGTAGACTGCTGTTTTAGGGCAGCAAAGAAGAATTGATTTCTGGGAAAACTGCCATTTTATGTGGGTGTAAAACTACTTTAAAGTATATACATAAATTATGTGATATTGGATCAGTGCATAGACTTGCATACTCCCTGATACCAGATCCAGCATTTAAGGCAGTATCCGAGGCATTTGCGACATTGGCATTGGTATCGGAGCAACTCTAGGTTAAACCAGTGTTTTGTTGGCAGCTAAACATGTAGATATATGAATGAGGAGTTTAAATGGCAGTAGGAAACAACTGAATACAGAAAATGAAGCAAAGTAGATAATTCTCACAACTTCCAGCAAAAACCACGTCCATTTATGGTATAATCTGAACACAGATATGAATAAAGATACTTTTGTGACACAGACAGATACAGATAGTAGCTTTGTGTTACAGCTCTCTCTCCTTTCCAAACCACAGATTGCTGGCCAGCGTCTGGCTGACCAGATCCCGCTGGTGATCCGCTACCAGATGTTGCAGGAGTCTGCTGTCCAGCTGCGGCGGGAGATGCTGCAGATGCTTCAGGACAAGGAGAAAACAGAGTCCCTGCTTCAAGAGGACTCTGGCATAAAAACCAAGAGAAAACACCTTCAGAATCGCCTCAAGCGCCTGTCAAAGGCTCGCATGCTGCTGACTGAATTCAGTATGAACATATACAACTTCAACACAACACAGCCACAGTGAAAACCTTAAAACCAGACTCCTGGAAGAAGAAGTTGCTGATTTATTATATTCTTTAAATTTCTTTTGAAGATTTTTATGTTTTTGACATAGCCATTCCTCTTAGTTAAAGTTTAAAAAAGCAGCTCTTGGTGTATTATTAGATTTTAAATCAACGTCTCGTTAACTTTTTTGAGCCTTTCCATTAATTTAGCTCATGTTTCATAAATTATTCTAGACATGTACTTGATATTCTCACTTTTTCATTCAGTATTCTTATTTCCTGAATGGCATGCCACATATGTATACAGTATATACAGTGACGGAGCAAAAAAGAGCAGGTTTGTTTTGTTAAGTAGTAGAGTTTTGTTTTTGGTTGTTTGAAGACAGCATCATGTATGAACCCACAAAAGCTGCCTCTCATTCAGTCTGTGGCAGACATGTTTGCTCTGAGCCTATTTTTATACAGTCTGTGCTCTGAGCACATAATTGACGTATTCAGCTTCACTGACTTGTTGGAGGGATGAGGAAAGGTGCAGGTCTAACTAGTTCCCTCACAAGAACTTTATTTAAAAGATCTAACAACACAGAACGTTGAGAGACATCAACGTAATATTTGGTCTCCACACCACCTGCACTCCTGACTAGACCACTAACCCCAAGGTTACAAACTCCACCCTTCAGGCCTGTGACTCTCTTTTTTCCTCCAAACATGCCAGGTAAAACAAAGAGAAGACTGATGTATGTGCATATGGACTTTTCACTTTTAAAATGTTTTCCTTTGTTAATCCTGTATGTATTATTTGAAGTTAACAGACAAAAGCATAGAACTGTTCAAGCAATAAAATGTTAAAACGGCTTCCTGGATCCTGTGTGTTCGAATGTGCACCCCATCATCTGATGTTCTGTGAGCAAGCGGCGGCATAACTATACAGTTTTCTCGCTATATATTATTCTTTGTTGCGTGTACGGTGTGAAGGAAACACATTAGTTAAATGCCTCTATAAAAACATTAAGTTACATTTTTACATTTTCACTACAAAGCCTCAGGTTTAGAGTCTGGCTTTGAAGCGAACATACATAAGTCTCACTTAAAATATTAAGGTTGTAAGTGCTGAGCATATCGCAATAACTAACCTCCTTGTCCCGTCACCTGACTGCCCCACTCATCTGTACACATGCTCAGTTTTCCCCCATCATCACTGCACTCACCTGATTCCCCCGCCTACTCTCTCACCTGTATCCACTTCCCCTGATCAGCCCTGCAGTTTATAACCGGCCCTTTTCCACACACTCTTTGCTAGTTTGTTAAAGCTGTCACGAGTTGCTGTACCTGCTGCCTGTTTATTGCCGTTCCCTTGTTGGTTTTGTTGCCTGTTTGTAGTGGTACTGGTTTCCAGAACTGGAATCTACCCACTCCCACTCCATCAGGGAGTGTCACTCTGTTTGTAGTACTCCTTCACAACTGAACCTACATCAAGCATTCCTTTTGTCATTACAATTAATAAATGATTAGATAAATACATAAGTTAATAAATAGATAAATAATACGTAAACAGGGAATAAAACTTATCCCCGAGATTTATCTATGACATTTCTTGTCTTTTACTTTTGTAAACATCTTCTCGTTTTTCACTCTTATGTTTATAAGCTGCTCAGTATTTCCGAACCAGCAATACTTTATTGATCCCCAAGGGGAAATAGTGATTCACTACAATCGCTCTGATGTAAAGAATAGAGAATTATACAAATAGGAATAAGAGTATGAAATAGAGGTATGTAAATAAAAAGTAATAAAATACAATAAAAATGAAAGTGACAACAGATGCAGAGAGGCGAAAACAAGACAACCCCTAAAAAGGGAATGGTTTTAATGGTCTTGTCTAGTTTTGTGTTCTGCCAGTGTCCTTGTCACTACTGGTAGCATGAGGCGGTACCTGCAGCCCAATCAGGTTGCACAGGTAGTCCTCCAGGATGGCACATCCATATGTGTGGTTCATGGAGGATAGTCCGCCAGAGCCCTACAAAATGACCTCTAGCAGGCTACTGGTGTGCATGTTTCTGACCAAACTGTCAGAAACAGACTCCATGAGGGTGGCATGAGGGCCTGACGTCCTGTAGTGGGAGACGTGTGCTCACAGCCCAGCACCATGCAGCTGGATTGGCGTTGGCCAGAGAACACCAGAATTGACAGGTCTGCCACAGGTGCCTAATTCTCTTCACAGATGAGAACAGGTTCACACTGAGCGCTTGTGACAGGCGTGAAAGAGTCTGGAGGCACCGTGGTGAACGTTATGCTGCCTGTTACATCATCCAGAATGACAGGTTTGGTGGTGGGTCAGTGATGGTCTGTCGAAGCATATCCTTGGAGGGTCACACAGACCTCCATGTCATAGCCAACGGTACCCTGACTGCTGTTAGGTACCAGGATGAAATCCTTAGAGCGACTGTCAGACCTTATGCTGGTGCAGTGGGCCCTGGGCTCCTCCTGGTGCAGGACAATGCCTGGCTTCATGTGGCCAGAGTGTGTAGGCAGTTCCTGGAAGACAAAGGCACTGATGCCATCGACTGGCCCTCTTTTCCCCCTGACCTTAATCCAACTGAGCATCTATGGGATGTCATGTATTGGTACATGTGATGCCACCAAGTAAGTACCCCCACAGATTATCCAGGAGTTCACTGATGCCCTGATCCAGGTCTGGGAGGAGATCCCCCAGGACACCATCCGCCAACTCATCAGGAGCATGCCCATTCATTGTCAGGAGTGCATACAAACACACGGGCACCATTCTTGGATTTTCGGTGCAACTTTGAATCCAGTCCTCACTGGGTTGATGATTTTGGTTTCCATTGACCATTGTTATGTCATTTTGTTCTCAATGAACTATACAATGTACATCAGTAAAGATTTTACACTTGAGTAATTTGTTTATTAAGATCTGATGTGCTGATTTAAGTGTTTTTGAGCAATTGGACTGTCACATCACAGAGACTGGTGGTCAGTGACTGATCTTTAATGAAAGCTGTTGTCTTGTATTTTTTCCTCTGAAAACATTAACCTAATAGTCAAATAAAATGTATTTAGCCTATATCGTTGAGGGGGGACAGGTCTGTTGATATGATGCTGATGTACATGAGGATTCATGTCAAATAGGGGCTGACCCATGAACACAAATTACAGATCGCCTGTAAAGCATTTTGTTAGCCTGCTCTGTCATAATTAAAACAACTAGAGAATGAGAACAAACTGATAAATGAGTCTTTAATCATTCTAAAAAAAATTAAAATTTTAATAAATCAACTTCAAGTCTAACAAGATTTTCTGTGACTTCCTGCGCAGACTGAAGGCTGCTGCGTCTCCTCATGCGTCCCTGGTGGGACGGACTGACGCAAGGAAATGAAGCAAGCGCATGGAGAGAGAGTTCGGATGCAACCAATATGTTTTCCCTGTTAGGTGACTCTATATGTGCAACATATGCCCCGCTGGTATTTCTCTCATTGACATCACAAGAAATGAAAGTAAAGGAAACGAAACCTAACTCCTTATCTGCAGCGCCACCCGCAGTGTCCTCCTGTGATCACCTGCTATTGTAGACTCAACACGAACAACTCATTTCAGTGTAAAGTCCATGCGGTTCTATTACTTTTAAATATTTCTTCACACGAGAGAAGAAGTTATCATCATCATGGCCACTCTGAACCAACAGTTTGAGGAGAAGGTGCGTCCCTGCATCGACCTCATCGACCGTATTCGCTCTTTGAATGTAGAGGAGCACTTTGAGCTACCTGCTATCGCCGTGATAGGAGACCAGAGCTCTGGGAAGAGCTCCGTGTTGGAGGCGCTGTCAGGGGTGGCTCTGCCAAGAGGAAGTGGTAAGACCCCTAGTAGCTATCAGACAATATTTAAAGCTGCAGATTTTGGCCATGATGCAGAACTACAACAAGCAGAAAAACACACACACCGCATTATTGCCTTATAAAGTCTGTTGTGTGATCTGTTCCCTAGAAGTTCATCAGACAGCACACAGCACTTAAGTGTTTTGACCTAAATACTAATGTCACCATGCCTACATGATACAAAGACTCACAATGTTGAGCAGGTATAGTGTTTACCATGTGTGCATGTAGAGCTGGTGATACTGGCCTTTTTTAACATTTGTGCTATGCCTGGAACATGTTTTTAGATGTTTTATAAAGATGATTTTCTAAGATAGCCCACTGCTTTTTATAATTTCATTGAGCATGTTGGATTTCACACATCATGTCCCCCTCATTAATTCAGGCATTGTGACAAGATGTCCTCTTGAACTGAAGATGAAGAGAAATGAAGAAGGACAGTGGTGGTCCGGGTGGATAATCTATCGGAACTATGAGGCAGACATAGAAGACTCTGAAACTGTGGCGATAGCAATAGTTGACCCTGAAGATGTGGAGGAAATGATAAGAGAAGGTGCAGTATGCAGCATTGTTAAAGGTCCAGGTCCAGGATTTAGGAGCGTCTATTGGCAGAAATGGTAATATACATAACTGTTTTTATGACTGCATACTCACTGGAAACTAAGAATTGTTGTGTTTTTGTTACCTCAGAATGAGCCGTTTATATCTAGATATGGAGCGGGTCCTCTGCCATGTTGTTCTATAGTGACCCAGAACAGATAAAGCAAACACATATGACCCATGGAAGCAGTTTCAGTTCTGCAACATCATGGCTAGAGGCCACTAAATCCTACACACTGGACCTTAAAATGTCACTATCAAAAGCCGAGTATCAATGGAATGACTATTTTTTTAGGTTTCAGTGATCTGCCCTTCCATCCTTCGTGATCATCAAACACCATGTCCTCTCTCTCCAGCTCAGGATAAATTGGCTGGGGACGGGCTGGGAATCAGTAATGACCTCATTAGTATGGAGATCACCTCTTCTGATGCTCCAGACCTGATGCTCATTGACCTGCCCGGCATTTCCAGGGTGGCTTTGCAGGGACAAGATGAGAACATTGGAGACCAGGTATGCTCATTAAGTGTCCCCAAAACACACTGTCAGTATCGACAGCAAGGTGTGTGGATTATCCATATTATCCTGAGGGGGGCAGTCACCCCCCCTCGTGGCCCAATTGTTGAAAAACGCTCGCTAAAATGCCCTCCTGGGAGCCAAAATGCGAGCTAAAGTGCCTTCCTGGGAGCCAAAATGTGTGCTAAAGTGCCCTCCTGGGAGCCAAAATGCGAGCTGAAGTGCCTTCCTGGGAGCCAAAATGTGTGCTAAAGTGCCCTCCTGGGAGCCAAAACGCGCGTTAAAGTGCCCTTTTTTTTCTTTTCACCCCTGCCCTTCAAAAAATCTGTGCACGCCACTGTAACTGGTGACTCTAAATTGTCCGTAGGTGTGAATGTGAGTGCGAATGGTTGTCTGTCTCCAACAGGGCAGGGTGGATTTTGCCATATTTTTGAAAAAAATAATGACACCATCCCTATTTAACACCAGACAGGGCTCCTGCTGTCCTATACTTATTCCTGAAATGTTTTTCTGAGTTCTCATTGCAATTGCTATTGGTTCGATGGCCAGGATGACTAACAATGGGGACACATTTGTCTTTTTATTTGTTTTTATTTTTGTTGTTTGCTGCTTTGTGGTGCTGTAGCCTACAGACAAAGTTAGTACCATTAATAGTCGAGTTTTAACTGACATGGATCAAAGATTTGTGGCAGTGTTTTAGTTGTTAAAAATACATTCATCCTCACAATAATTTCTAATCTATATTTCACATTTTATTTCACACAAAGCATTGAACAACTTCTGACTTAACATTGAACATGAATTAATACTTTCAGATAAAGCGACTGATCCACAAGTACATCTCAAGACGAGAAACCATCATTTTGGTAGTGGTTCCATGCAACGTGGACATAGCAACCACAGAGGTTTTGAAGATGGCACTGGAGGTGGATCCTGATGGAGAGAGGACTCTGGGTAAATAGAGCTGATTTTAAAAAAGAGCCGTCCAGCTCTTACGTTATGTTACACAATTCTTAGCCCCTCCCCCACACCCCACAGGTATCTTGACCAAGCCTGACCTGGTGGACGAGGGTTCAGAAGAAAAGGTGGTTGACATTGTCCATAATGAAATCATCCCCCTGAAGATGGGCTACATGATTGTCAGGTGCAGAGGTCAGCAGGAGATCACAGAGAAGGTGTCTCTTACTGAAGCATTAGAAAGTGAGAAAGCCTTCTTCAGAGATCATGCGCATTTCCAGTAAGTTCATTCTTTTTAGGTGATTTTGCAAAATCGTTAAGTGGTAAAGGGTTTGATAGCTTGTGCAGCATGTAGCTACTCTGTCACTTTTTGTTATTTTTGCTTAGGATTCTCTATGATGAAGGCCATGCCACTATTCCTAAACTGGCTGAGAGCCTCGCCCTTAAGCTGTCGCATCACATCAAGGTAAATTTGTCTTCCTTCCTGTGTACCGTAAAAAAAATTGTCAATATAGACATGCTACAAGCTGTTAGCTCAAGCACCAAAGTATAATTCATTTAGATTTACGAACATGGTACACAAGAGATTTGAGACTTCCTAAGTTTTTAGTATTGTCATGTGAAGTCCATTGCTCAACGTCAACAAGCATCGCTGACTGTCGCAGAAGTGAATATCTCTGTCTATGATGTGCTGTCTGTTGGAGGTAGATCAAATTAATGATTTGGAATTGGCATGTTCTTCAATAGCCTAATTTTTATACTAATATCGATACTGGTTTCAGTAAACAGTTTCATTGTATTTCTTATCTTTCTCAAGAGTTTTGTTTGAAAGGAATTGAAGGCCTGTCCCATATAAATATTTTGTGATTTGAGCAAATAAAAGCTTGGGATACTGATTGAAGTTTTACAGTAAATTATGATTATTCACCTTTTGTCACATTCTACCTCCCAGTCCTTCTCCTCAGCCACCTTTACCTTTCTCTGCCCTGTGCCCAAACATGCAATAGCCATTCTCCATTTATCCACTGAATGCCCTTGGTCTTTGCCTCATCTGCCTGGCTGTAATCCCTTATCCTGCAAATTGGAAATTAGCTAACCATTACCTGGAGGAGCTGTATTTAAAAGCACAAATGTCTGAATCAGTTCGATCAGACAGACTTTACCCTGCCAGCTTCTCGGTACTAAGTCCTAAACCAAACGGAGTATTTCCAGTAGGTGAGAACAGGTCTTATAAAGACAATCTCCTGTTGCTACATGTGTAAAAGGGAAACCTGATTCTCCAGGCGTTGTCCGGAGTTCATATGGGAAAACTGCGTAGGACTCTGCCCTTTAAAGTTGTATTATTGTTTTCTGGCTTTGTATTATTGCTTACAAGCTTCTGTTACCTGAACCTGTACCTGGACCTGCCTGTAAACCTACTACATACCCTTGCTTTGACAGTAAATCATTGAAATATACCACGCTGTTTAAGTTTTGACCCATGTTTGATTCGCAGAGATCTCTACCTCAACTGGAAGAGCAGATAGAGGAGAAAATTGAACAGACTCAGGCAGAGTTGAAGACATATGGCAGTGTACCCCCATCTGATGAAGCTGGGAGGCTCGTCTTCCTCAGTGACGTGAGCTCCCTCACTATAACATTTACTTGGCTACAAAGACAAACGCTCACAACCATGCATACATTTTCAGTATTTAAATAAAACACCTGTAAACAACTGTTTCTGCTGCAGAAAGTGACAGCTTTCACTCAGGATGCCATCAGTCTGACTACAGGAGAGGAACCAAAGTGTGGAGACAAGCTCAATGTCTTTTCTACACTCAGAAGAGAGTTTGAAAAGTGGAACGCCCACCTGGACTACGCAGGAGAAAAGTGTGAGTGTATTATTTTGATCTGGTCTACATTTGACTGTCAGCAGGACTGTGAAATATACTTTGTTTGTTGCAGTTAACAAGAGGATTGAGAAAGAGGTGGAGAACTATGAAGAGAAGTATCGTGGAAGAGAACTGCCGGGCTTCATCAACTACAAGACCTTCGAGGTCATGGTCAAGGAGAGGATCAAACAGCTGGAGGAACCAGCTGTCAAGAGACTCAGGGAAATAGGAGGTATATGATTGAATATATATGACAGATTTACTCAGTAATATGTTTTTCTTTAATCCTCAAGTTTTCTTTTCTTGCCATGCAACCTCAAGTGAGTTGCTCGGTGGAGATCAAGCTGCTGTACCTTGTTGTATTTCTATTTCCTCCAGATGCTGTTAGGAAGGCGTTCATACAGCTGGCCAACAGTAGCTTCAATGGATTCATTAACCTAAAGAATAGAGCCACGGTAGTCCATGAGTTTATTAGTGACATTCTTATGATTTGATTTGATAGTTGTTATCAGTATTTCAATTTGCATCATTTTCTTGGCTGTGTTCAGACTGACCAGAATCTTGTTTTTCTAGGCAAGGATAGAAACCATAATGCGAGACACAGAGTCCACTGCTGAATCCATGCTGAGAACCCAGTTCAAAATGGAGCTGATTGTTTCCTCTCAGGACAGGATCAACAGCAGCAGTTTGAGTGAGAGGAAGAGAGAGGAAGATGAAGACAAACGGAATGGCACAGACTCCCATAAAGGAAGGTGTATTGTATACAACATGGATAATCATGCAACACTTCAGGAGCTGATGTTGCACATTAAATCATATTACCAAGTAAGTTTTAATTTAGAGGGGTAATTAATGATCAAAAGCAGTAACAACAAGGATTAGACAGAGGCTATGTCTTTCAGTTACTGGCCTCATCTGTCAAACTTTTCCTTTTCCTCCATCAGATTGCCACCCAGCATCTCGCTTACCAGATCCCGCTGGTGATCCGCTACCACATGTTGCAGCAGTCTGTTGTCCAGCTGCAGAGGGAGATGCTGCAGATGCTTCAGGATAAAAGGGATATGAATACATTGCTGAAGGAACAACCTGCCTATGGCAGCAAGAGAGCTGTTCTACAGAGTCGCCTCGAACGCCTCATGCAGGCCCGCGCACACCTGGTGGAGTTCTAGAGGAGGTCCAGGCCTTACAGCAAGATTTTGTTGTTCAGATTGTGTCATTCATTCATGACTGTGGAGTGGGCTTATTATCTGTCACACTGGGTTTTGAGTGTAGAATTACTATTATTATGTTCAGCCAATATGTGAACATGTCATCATATCAGATCATGCTCTCAAAACCAGAAGTTACTAATAATAACTTGTTGTTATTGTGGCTGTCAAGGCATTTATGGCACAGTTGCTGAGTCCAAGACAAATTTCCCTTAGTGGGACAATAAAGTGTATCATGTCGTACTGCACTGTTTCATTATTTGGCCTGAACACTTGCCTGAACATGTACACAATCAGAGCATGGTGTCTTAAGTGAGTGCATTACAATGACTGAATTAGATTTATCTAGCATTATTTCTGTTGCTGTGATGCATCAAATCCATTATGTGAAAAGCACCAAGAATTAGAGAGTGGTTTGCAGCTGAGTGTGAAGCTGTCGGGATGAGAGTCAGCACTTTCAAAACTGAGGCCATGGTTCTCTGCCCGGAAATCGGTGGATTGCCTCCTCTGGGTTGGGAGACAGTTACTGCCTCAAACAAGGGGGTTCAAGTATCTCGGGGTCTTGTTCACGAGTGAAGGTAGAATGGAGTGTGAGATGGATCAGTGGTTTGGTGCGGCTTCTGCTTTGATGCAGGCGCTGCGCCGGACCGACGTGGTGAAGAGGGAGCTGAGCTGAAAGGTGAAGCTTTCGATTTACTGGTTCATTTATGTCCCAACCAACACCTATGGTCATGAGCTCTGGGTAGTGACCGAAAGAATTAGGTGGTGGATACAAGTTGCCGAAATGAGTTTCCTCCGTGGGTTGGCTGGGCTTAGCCTTAAAGACAGGTTTAGGAGCTCGGACATCCAGAGGGAGCTGGGAGTAGAGCCGCTGCTCCTTCGTGTTTAAAGGGGTCAGTTGAGGTGGTTCGGGCATCTGATTAGATTGCCTCCTGGGCGGTGTTTTAGGCACGTCCCACTGGTAGGAGGCATCGGGGCAGACCCAGAACACGCTGGAGGGATTGCATATCTCATCTGACCTGGGAACGCCTTGGGGTCCCCCAGGAGGAGCTGGAAAGCATTGCCGGGGAGAGGGATGTCTGGGATGCTTTCCTTAGCCTGCTGCCCCCACGACCTGGCCCCGAATAAGCGGATGGAAATGGATGGATGGATGAATTAAAATGGCCACTGTGATTTTCATTCAGTTTTATTCCTAAAGACCCATCAGGTTAGTACATGTGAATTATTAACACAGGTGCCCTCATCAGAGACAGTGTTTTGTGTGGCAGCTCTGTTTCTCTGTTTTTATTGTAGGAAAAGCAGTTTTCTCCGTGGCCTGAGCAGGAGCAGCATGGCAAAGTACTTGCCAGCTCTGGTCAGACTGGTCAACCAGTGACTTGTTGACCAGCTTAACCAGGTACTTAATATACATGACTTCAACGGGACTACAACTAAGTACAACAGTTTGCGCGCCGGTGACGTCATAGGTGATAGAAACATGGGATTTTGACTGTCAGCAGAGCTCTTCACACACATAAAGTGTAAATAAAGACAAATCAGTTGAGTCTTTCCCCATCAGGTGAAATGGCCAGTCAGGCTAAAAGCTACGGAGAGAGTTTAAGAGGTCCTGATCGCCTTAGGTACGACAAGAAAGTGAAAATGATAGGAGGAGTGTGCCCTTTTCAGTTGCCAGCCTCTGTGTGGACGAATGACCTTGTCAAGTCATTCATTCAGTTCATGTCCTGTTGATTCATTACTTAACAGTCATTAGAATTAACTTCTTGGCTTTGAACATCTCATGTTATTGTTGAGATCAACTGACTTTAGCTAGCTAGCTAACGTTAGCCAACTAACCTGTGATGAAGTGCCTGCCACAGACATAATGTTAGGTGTAGTGACTGGCTGGATCCCACAGCTTTCCGTCTTTACCCTGCCGTTTGATGGCTGTGAGCCACAGATTTCTTCTTTCCCCATTCTTCACTCTATCCGGGAGCAAAGAAAATCTCAACTTTTTTCATTGTTTGCTGTGCAGTGAACAATGCAGCAACTTTTTGGCATTATGAACTCCTAGCGTCTCTTCCGGGTCGAGTTCAAAACTTTCACCCAAAAGGGGACGTGGCCATTATTATGGCAGTGAGTGATAGTGTGTTGAAGTCATGTATACTGCTTAGTGTTGTACTCACTGTGGGACATCTCAAATTTCTCACTGAAAACAGCCATGTTGTTGTTTTGACAAAAAGCCATGAAACTGACCATGGTGGGACTGCGCTGGCTACTGACTGCTCTTAACCTCATCCTCCTCTTGTGATGTTACACAAGGCTACCTAAAATACAAAAAGCACAAAAAACAAAACACAAAGACAAAAAAAAGAAAGAACATAACTAATTTCCCTTATGCCTTGTTAAAAATATGATTATCCAGGTTATGCACAATATGACCATCCTGCATCAGAGCTTAATATACAGTAGTGGACACCTGTTTAAGTAACTGTTACGTCTCCCTTGATGGCAAGGTAGAAAGGAGACATCAACACGACAATCAAAAATAAGATGGTGTCAGAGCGGGTGTATACACAAAGAAAATGGTTTATTGGATAATTAAATCTACTAACAAAAGATCACAATTGTGGAGGGTGGGACAAGGTGGTTGTGCCAAATAAACTGAAAGAGATACAATAAAACTGGACCTAAACTGAGTTTGAACTTGAAACAAAACTCAAACAAAAACCTGACTCTTATCTAAAAAAGAAGCTTAACCAAAAATAAATACAGAGGTGGCACCAACCTTAAAACCTAGTGTTTTACAACAATGGATACCTACGTGAATGAAGAAAGGTAAAGGGTACCCCGTCTTACCTATGTCCACAAACCTCACTCCACAAAACCTTGTTTTTTGCATCTATGTTCACTCAACATGTGCAGCAGCTCTAGCAGGCAGGGGAGAAGAGAGTGATCACTGCAGGCATGGTCCTTTTCTACAAGAGCTCCGGATGTGATTGGCCAGTCTGCAAGCACCCACACACTACAGGTGCAGGCCAATCAGGTTGATGGCACCTGGAGAGCAGAGAGGAGGAGGAGAGAGAGAAGACCAGGAGGGAAAAACACACACCACAAACACAACTCCAACTTTGCCCCTGCCTGGCATGTAACAGTAACGAACACCTTTTAATATAGACCTATACAAGAAAGAATACAAAAAAATAGTAGGCCTACCGTTGTAACAGTAGCCCAAACTTACTCAGTTTAAGTCATACAAAATGGTTTCAGCAAAAACAAAATCAAGTGATGCCTCTTGCGTGTATGTGTGTGTGTGTGTGTGTGTGTGTGTGTGTGTGTGTGTGTGGTGAACAAACTGTTTAGAATGAAGAGGCTGATGATAATTGGTGGCAAATTGATACCTTAATTAATGTCTACAGCACTGTTCTACCTGCCAGGCCAAGTGCGTTATCATCCAACATCCTCCACTTCATGTCTGGTATTTCGTATAACAGGTCGTGTAAGGAATCGGCTCCGTGAAATGAAAGTCGAGGAAACGAAACCTAACCTAACTTTCACTTCCCTTCACCGCTGCATCCCTGAGGTGTCCTCCGTCGTGCAGCCACACTCTGTTAGGGCTTCCCAAGGAAATCGGTTGTCTACTGCTCTCTTTTAAACTCAGTTTCTTTACAGGAGACAAGAAGTTATCATCATCATGAACACTCTGAACCAACAGTATGACGAGAAGGTGCGTCCCTGCATCGACCTCATCGACTCTCTACGCTCCCTGGGTGTAGAGAAGGACCTGGCGCTGCCTGCTATCGCCGTGATAGGAGACCAGAGCTCCGGGAAGAGCTCCGTGTTGGAGGCGCTATCAGGGGTGGCTCTGCCAAGAGGAAGTGGTAAGTTGGAGCTGCAGTCATTGATTTTTGGCCATGGGGCATAACGCCGGGTTCACACTGGAGGCAGAAGAATTGGGACCTTGTGAATCGAAATCGAATCGATTCAGGAGATCAGTGGTGAAACCCAGCCCTATTTCTCTCCATGTGTGTCCAGTCAACTTGTCTGTACAGTGTAATAGCAGTATTACACTATTTCTCCATTATTACCATCTGTTATAGGAAATGTCCCCCAACCTCATCTAAAAGTGTAGCTATAACCATTTAGAATTGCTATATTTTGTGGCGGGGTGAGAAGCCTGTTGTCATAGCACCCTCTAGCTGCATCTGGCGACCTCTGCAATCGCTTACCAAGAACTTTGTGACTTCTGCTTTTGCATGTCTTTGAAGTATAGATGCAATGAATCCATTTGCTAACATGCTCACATTGGCTAACAGTGTTATATCACTGATGTTGAACAGGTATAGTGTTCATGTGTACATATAGAGCCACACTACATACATGTCCCTGTTTACATTTGGGTCATGGATTTTGCTCAGAAAATGTTGACATAGGTGTTTGATTTTTCTAGCACATGTACTATGCCTGGAACATATTTGAAGTTGTAATATTGATCCCATCTTTATAAAGATGCTTTTCTAAGATAGCCTACTGCTTTTATAAATCTCATTTACTCTTCATTAATTCAGGCATTGTGACAAGATGTCCTCTCGAACTAAAGATGAAGAGAAAGAAAGAAGGAGAGGAGTGGTACGGGAAGATAAGCTACCAGGGCTGCGAGGAAGAGCTAGAAGACCCTTCAGATGTGGAGAACAAGATTAGAGAAGGTACAGTATACAACATTTGAAATGTCACTAACAAGGCCAAGTATGGACTGATTTTTTTTTTCAGGTTTCAGTGATCAACACTTCTACTCTGTGATCATCAGAAATCCTGTCCTCTCTCTCCAGCTCAGGATGAAATGGCCGGGGTCGGGGTGGGGATTAGTGATGACCTCATCAGTCTGGAGATTGCCTCTCCTGATGTTCCAGACCTGACGCTCATTGACCTGCCCGGCATTGCCAGGGTGGCTGTAAAGGGACAACCAGAAGACATTGGAAAACAGGTATGCTAGTTAAAGCCCTGTTTCCACCAAACACTTTCAGTATGGTACCTCTGGAACCAAAAGTAACCCTTCAGACATGGTACCTAGACCCTAGTGTTTCCATCGCAAACAGTACCCTTAAATCTGGACAGGTGTTGTCACTCACTCCTCCGTCCAGCATTCACTGTATTTCCTCATTACCGGTGTCACAGAGGGAAGTCTGTGCCTTGTTTATCATCCACAGAACGAGGTTGCATGCTGACATTTTCAGAACAAAATAAAACAGGCTGCAGTGA